CTTGCTTCGTGATCCTTTCAGTAAATTGTAAATATAATCTGTTTTTTTTCTAGTGTGTGTAGTTCATTTAGATTTCTGTTGAGTATCGATGTGTGGGTATCAGTTTGATGAGACGAATTTATGACAAAAATCCTCACACAGACAGGCATATTATCATGCACAATAAGCTTGATATTAGTACCAGCATCCACACACATGCTTTTTCAAATGTTGGATAATAGCTTTGTTGAGAGCTGTAAAGAAGTATAAAATATCAAACGAGCCGAATATTTAGTCGAGGATAAAGCGAGTTTACACAGATGAATTTTACATGTTTCTCGCATTTACAATTTGATGAGATAATTGCAAATGAAAGTAGAACAAGAAATATGCCATACATATTTCATAGAATAATGTTTCAAAAACTCGAGAGACTTTTCATAGATCAGCAATATAATAAAAGACATGCTTCCAAGAAAGAGATGATCGCAACATATCGAAAAACTAGTTTGATCAGTTCATGATTTTTATACGTGAATTAGTTGCAAAATCATAGAAGAAAACCCACATTTCTCATTCAATGACTTCATCTTTCTCATACAACTCTATCACCGTAAACATAAACAAAAAGAAAAAAGAGTTAAAAAAATAATTGTTGTTAACAAAGTTGAGAACTTGACTCAAAAACAATTCTTGTCTTGTAACAAAATCGTATTTCTATGAAGAGAAACTTTCTCTCTCTTATTTTAATAATTTTTCTTGTCTCTATTTTAGATTATCCATTACGTTCTCCATCCAGCACCAACATTCATCCGAATGCTCGATGGCAACAAAATGGTATCACTGTGGCTGGAGGATATCGACAAGGCAATGAAATCAATCAACTCTCAAACCCATCGGGTTTGTATGTTGACAATGATCAAACAATCTATGTTGCTGATCGAGTGAATCATCGTATTGTGGAATGGAAACGAGGTGCAACAAGTGGCCAAGTGGTTGCCGGTGGAAATGGACAAGGAAGTGGAGATCATCAATTGTATAACCCACAAGATGTGATTATCGACAAAGAAAGAGATAGTCTCATCATATGCGATACTTTGAATAGAAGAGTGGTTCGATGGCCTCGTCGAAATGGGACAAGTGGAGAAACAATCATCTCCAACATCTATTGTTGGGGTTTGACAATGGACGAGAATGGATCTCTCTATGTCACTGACATTGGAAAAAATGAAGTGAGACAATATCGAAGAGGAGAATCTCAAGGAACAGTGGTTGCAGGTGGCAATGGAAGTGGAAATCGTCTCGATCAACTCTCTTACCCCTCATACGTATTCGTCGATCGAGATCATTCAGTGTACATATCTGAATGGAACAATCATCGTGTGATGAAATGGATGGAAGGTGCAAAACAAGGCATTGTCCTGGCTGGTGGTCAAGGAAAAGGAAATGATCTTACACAATTGTCATCTCCTCAAGGAGTCGTTGTCGATCAATTGGGCACTGTCTATGTGGCTGATGGATGGAATAATCGAATCATGCGTTGGCCTAAAGAAGCCACACAAGGAAGTGTCATTGTTGGTGGAAACGGTAGTGGAAAACAATCGAACCAACCCAATGGACCCGTCGGTTTGTCATTCGATCGACACGGGAATCTCTATGTCGTCGATAATGGAAACGCTAGAGTCCAAAAATTTGAACTACAATCCAATCCGAAGTAAACCTTAAAACACATATAAAACATTCGAAAAAAAAACTTTCACAAAATGACTCACCCAATTAACTAATTATTTAATTAATAAATAATAATAAAAATTAATTAACATAATATGAACAAATTGTACTACGAATAATAAACCAAACGAAAGCTTACTTATATATAAAAACACCCATCGCACAGTAGGAAACCGTAAACACACATAAAAAGGGAAACAACAAAACATGGCGGAGACCTGGCTGACTTTCCTCAAAACGGAAACCTTGGATTTTCCATCACGATTCCAAGGATTCCATGAGAGACAACAAACTCTGGCACTTGGAAAATTGTAGATCATGATGAATTCTATCAGAATCCAAGGATTCCAAAAGATTGTAAAGTGAGAACCCATGCAACTTTGGACCTCCAGAAAACCCCTATGGACTCGATAGGACTTTTGAAGCATTACCACTGACTCCAAGGATTCCATGAGAGACAACAAAGTCTGGTACTTCGAATACTGTAGATCATGATGAATTCTATCAGATTCCAAGGATTCAAAAGGATTGTAAAGTGAGAACCCATGCACCTGTCGACATCCCGAAAACTCCTATGGTTTCCATTGGTCTTTCGAAGCATTGCCAATGCTTCCAAGGATTCCATGAGAGACAACAAAGTCTGGCACTTGGAAAATTGTAGATCGTGATGAATTCTACCAGAATCCAAGAATTCCAAAAGATTGTAAAGTGAGAACCAATGCAACTTTGGACCTCCAGAA